GAGCAACACATGTTAAACGACAAAAACCAGCAGTGCCCCAAAAACCAAGTCTGAACATAAAAACAGATTTAGATCCTCTACAAATCAGTGAGACTACTTTAGACAACATCAACAACTCTGAAACCGACATGTCACCTTCACCTGCCCCTGTAACACAGACTTCTGAGGCGAGATATTCTCAAAGGGGCACAGACTTCAGTCCCAGCACAGCGAAAACCATGACTCTGGGTCCAAAGACCTCCAACAGCCTGGAGACTGGACCCATCCCACGCCGTGACACTCTCTCAGAGGGCTTCACAATGAGCCCAAACAGCAGGATTACGTCTGATCCGACGCCACTAACAGCCAGTCGACCACCATTGATCTCAACGACAACAAGAGCAAATAAAATCTCCCGTAGGATCCTGCCGAGTGTTATCCCTAGCACAATTCCAGGATCCGCAAACCCAAATCAAGCTTCAAATACTGACTTGCAAGCTGAGATAATTCCCAATATGGAGGAAAAAGCAGCCAAACAAACTCCAGTTCCAGACACTATTATGATTCCAGTCCCATCTCCCAGTACTCAAAGATCTACCACAAACAAATATATTTCACCTGTTCATGACACTGGAGGAAGTGAAACAACTAGAATAACAACAAGACCTATCCAAAAGCCTATAGCAGTATTAACAGAACATTCCGATGAAAATCCTTTGACCGAGCCTGTATCTGAAAAAGACTCAACACCCGGACAAAAGCGTACTCCTGATCGGGCCCTGATCAAACCCCCTGATCAAGAGAAGAAATCCAGTGAGAAAATCCCTAAAATAAACCAAAATCCTAAACCCAATGAAAATCATACAGATCTTGTAACAGGACAAAAGACTAAACAGAAGGGGAAGCCTAAACCAGAACAACGCCCACAAACCAATCAAAGGCTTAGAACCCTTCGACCCGACCAAATGCCTGAACTTAACCCCAAATCTTTGCCGAAAGCAGAATCCAACAAAACATCTAAATTGAGGCCTACACCCAAAGGCAGGCAACCAATCAGACCTAAAATCAGGCCAGGAGCAACACATGTTAAACGACCAAAACCAGCAGTGCCCCAAAAACCAAGTCTGAACATAAAAACAGATTTAGATCCTCTACAAATCAGTAAGACTACTTTAGACAACATCAACAACTCTGAAACCGACATGTCACCTTCACCTGCCCCTGCAACACAGACTTCTGATTCGAGTAATTCTCAAAGGGGCACAGAGTTCAGTCCCAGCACAACGAAAACCATCCCACGCCGTGACACTCTCTCGGAAGGCTTCACAATGAGCCCAAACAGCAGGATAACGTCTGATCCGACGCCATTAATAGCCAGTCGACCACCATTGATCCAAACGACAAAAAGAGCAAATAAAATCTCCCGCAGGATCCTGCCGAGTATTATCCCTAGCACAATTCCAGGATCCACAAACCCAAATCAAGCTTCCAATACTGACTTGCAAGCGGAGATAATTCCCAATATGGAAGAAAAAGCAGCCAAACAAACTCCAGTTCCAGACACTATTATGATTCCAGTCCCATCTCCCAGTACTCAAACTACCTCCACAATCAACCCTAACCTCAGGTCAACCACCTCTAGCCCCAAGCCCCTGGCGGCTGAGTTTTCCACTCCCAGTGCAAGGGAGCTGCGTGTGAAGATCAAACAGGTGGCTGCCTTCTTCAATAACAGCCTGAGTCCAAATGGAAGGCCACTGGGGAGCCATCCAAAAGATCACGCAGAGGACAACCAGGTCGGCAGCAGGCCAGAAAGCAAACTACCATCTAAAGGTAAGAAATACTATGTTTTATCAATATCATAGAGCTTATACAAGTTCTGTTTTTAATTGTATGCTTTGTCATAGATTCAGACACAGAACGTAGGTCGCTTAATGCAGGGATTGTGGTTGTTATTGACAGAGCATTAATGTGATTATACTAGCCTGTGTAGCAGCACTCAGCTCTGGTTTGCAACACCATCTAATGGTTGCTTTGTTTCAACAGTCATCTCAGAGGAACGCATTATAATTCACTGCACACAGGGGTAATTAGAAATCAAGAGAGGATATGAGGCATATGCAACTTCACAATGACATTCTTGGAAATGTTCAGCTATCTGCATAAAGTCTATTGTGTTGAAATTACATTTCAATGATTAGGCTGAGAGAAAACTGTTATGCAATCATTTTGATAACTAATTATTGTCCCTCAAAGCTATGACCTGTGCTGAAATGTTTTTAGTTAAGGGACCACATGGTAATCACTCATGCTCAACCTATATAAATATGATATGTATAATGTGGTCTGAGATCTTCTCTGTACATCAAGACTAAAAGAGGAATTTGCACGTGTGTGCAAAATGTGTGTGTGTGTGTGTGTGTGTGTGTGTGTGTGTGTGTGTCATTATATGAGACAAAACCACAACTATGTGGACAATAACAGCTTTAAAGCATCTGTCAATGGAGCACAGCTAACAATGAGTTATTCAACTATTAACTACAGCCTCTTAATGCAAGTAAAGGTATTTTTTCCAGACTATATCATACCTCATGTGTTTAATTTATTAAAACAATGACAAGGATAAGATAATAGTTCTTTAATGGTTACATATTTGAACACCTGCTTTTACTGTTATCTCTCAAATCCACTATTTTAAAAATGGTATGTGTAAACTTTAAGGAGGTACACCTTGAAATTCTTTAAAAATCCTAAATCTTTAATAGTGGAAAAGTAGCTTCCACCTGACCTGTTGTCGTTACGACCTCAACCAACACATTTCACGGCTATATCACAGCTGCAGGACGATATTTATTCTGCAAGATATGAGCAGAAGCAGGACTTTGATTAGATAACTCTATTAATTAAATAAATACAAATGTAATTTAAAAAATGGTTGTGACAAAACTCTTTGTGATTTGTTTTCATGTTCCCCATCCACAGTTACTAGAGATTGCTCCGACTACTTGGCAAAAGGATCAACAAAAAGCGGGATGTACCTGGTGACCCCTGACCTCCGCAGCAGAAGCTTCCCGGTCTTCTGTGACATGCAGCTGGATGGAGGAGGGTGGACGGTCCTGCAGCGCCGACAGGACGGCAGCGTGAGCTTCAACCGCACCTGGGCAGAGTACAGATTGGGCTTTGGGGAGCTGGACAAAGGGGAGTTTTGGCTGGGGAACAATATGATCCACATGCTGACCCGGGCCAGGAATATGGTGCTGAGGGTGGAGCTGGAGGACTTTGGCGGTGTGAGGGAGTATGCACAGTACGAGTCCTTCAGTGTGGCAAGTGAACGGGGGCACTACAGACTGACGGTGGGCGATTACTCGGGTACTGCAGGTGATGCTCTGCGCTTCAGCAAAATGTATGATCACCACAACAGGGCGTTCACCACGCCGGACAGGGACCACGACCGCTATCCATCCGGGAACTGCGGGGCCTACTACAGCTCCGGATGGTGGTTTGATGCCTGCATGGCTGCAAACCTCAACGGGAAATACTATGTTGGGAAGTACAAGGGAGTCCGGGATGGTATTTTCTGGGGCACTTGGCAGAACATATCTTCAGAGTATTACCCCACTAATGACAGACAATCATTTAAAACGGTCAGGATGATGATCAGGCCAAGAGGCCTTGCGCCATTAGCTGGGACTCTCTACCAGGGCATGTTGTAAAATAAAATGAAGGGTCCAACTAACAATACTGCTTACAATTTAATAAACCTAGTACAGCCTCCACACTGATAACTATTAACCCAATGCTGCCGCTGTGTGGTCTTTTAATCTGCAAAACAAATTTGTTTACAGGAAAGTATGACAATAAGTGAGGATGTACATAGTTGTGGTTATAGTCATGATTGCATATTAGCCTACATTTTTACAAGCTTATAATAATAATATTTTTTTATATTGCTGAATTTGTTCAATGACGATAGAGAGATAATTCTCTTGTAAAGAGTTATGACGGGTATGTAGCAACAGAGAATGATATGTTGTATTATTGTAGTACCTGAAAGCCAGTTGATGGTTAATAAAAGCTGTATGGATTGTTTTTTAAGAGATTGTTCTTCTTTGATAAATAAATTGTTGAATAAAGTATTGTTTTTTTTTCTTCCCATTATCTCTTGTAAAGGAATATCTGCAATACATATGGATAAAGTGTCAGCTAATGGAAGTTATTCAATCAAAATAACTTTAGAAATAAGGAAATGCTTCAAGACTCAAATTCCCCACAGCCTTTGCGGATTAAACAACATGCTCACAGAGGCATACTGATTGGACAAAACCTACAGAGGGGCGGTGCTAACATTACACAAGAGTGTACATCCGGATTGTCAAATTAGTTAAGTGAGGAGGATTAAGACCGGAAGTACAATAAATTGCCTTCAAAAGCCATAGAGGTTTCAATTAACTTTTACATTTAAGCCTACACAATTTATTGTAGATATTTTTACAGTAACAGAGGACTTTACTGTCAGTGCATTTGTACATTGAAATTGAAATATCACTTGCAATAACAATAAATCCTGTTTTGGATTATCCTGCTTTATACTACAGTATACTTTGGGTTCTATTATTTACTGCAATTTAACATTTCATAGTAGCCTAAGTCTAATTTATTAATATATTGTGCATTACCTAATTTACTTCTTTTAACTTGTTTTTATTAGAGTATTTACTAGTAATACAAAGTAAAAAGCAAACTATTTTTTGGTGGATGAGACTTTTAGTCTGAAATATCATACCGGAAGTACTAGTCTTGTGCTCAGAGCTCAGACTTGCCAGCGTTTTATCAGTTCAAGTTGACCATGGTGTTGACTTAATGGCAGCTATTTTCCCTCAGATGTTTAGTAAGTAATTTGTAACAACAGCAGCAGTGTGAGGCGTACATTAACTAGTTTTCCGGCAGTTGAAAGATATGTTTTGTAGCTCAGCAGCTCGGGGCGGATGTGTCGGACTCCTCCGTTGCTGGACCCTCACAGCCGGTCCCAGGACACTCACGACCCCGCTCCGCCCTCTGCACACTTCACGGTACTTGTCCATCTCTGTCCCCATTAAGTCTCCAACATACGAGGAGGTAAAGCCGCCTCTGAAGCAGTGGTCTCTGACGGTGGACCCCTTCAGCACGGTGCGGGCACAGCTGGCCTGCAGCATCTCCATCCGCCCGCTGGACCCGCACGACTTCCCCGAGTCTAACAGAGTCTTCATCACAGTTCACGGGACAGACACGGAGCAGGAGGTCGGCCAGGATGACCTACATGTCCACTATGATGAACAGAGCAAAGAGCTGCTCATCTCAGGGGAGAAGGTTAAGGGCAGTGTGTCGATTGATATGACTGCACCTACTAAATGTAGTAAGTGCCTCCTGTCCTGTTGATTAAAATGCAAACATGTCAGCAGAAGTTTTTAGCAGTTGGTGTAATAATGTCTGTTGTCATTTGTTGTCAGATCTCTTCATTATGACTCAAGGAAAAGGCAACGTGCAAGTGAAGAACATGGAATGTGATATCTGCAAGGTGCAGACAGAGAGTGGCAACTGTTTGCTACACTCGGTCAAGGTAGGTGGTGGCATTACAACATAAACATGTTTATTGCAGAAAACATAAAAACACGTGGAGATGACATGTTTGCATATTACTGTATCTTAATGGCTAATTTCATGAGCTTTTGATCTTAACTTGTTTTTATTGCAGATACTTGACTTGAGATTTTTCACTATAACTTGGTATAATTAACAACCAAGTCACAAAACCAAATGTCCTAGTCCTCTATTAGGAGCTCGTCTTGAAGGCTTATTCAGCTATACGCATATTGCACAATTATGCAGAATTAAGCATATCCGATGCAGAATTGGCTAACACATTAGAGAAAAGTATGTATTTTTCAGTTGTTTCAGACTTCCTTTGTTTGTTGTATCACAGAGTCATCAGGTTGAGGTCCATTCCAATGGAGGACATGTTACAGGTGTGGGCACTATCTATGGAAATGTGGACATCAGCACATGTGGAGACAGTGTAAGGACACTACACTCAGCAGTCATTAGAGGGCAGCAGCAGCCTGAATACAGGCTTCATCTGTTTACAACTGAGAGAAAATGTTCAGATAATTCATCACCTGTCTACAGTACTGTGCAGTGATTCGTTGTGTGTTTATAGGGTGTTGATGTCAAGAAGCTTCAAGGCACCACAATGAATATTTCAACAGAACATGGACCTCTGAAGGTCAAAAACATCTATGCCGAGTCCAGCTTTGTTTCCTCCTGCTCTGGGAGAGTAGAACTGGGCCATGTGCACGGTGAGCAAACATCTACTCCTCATCTGTGTTTTTTTGTGTGGTTATCAGTACTGCAGCAAAACTTTAATGTATAGATTTGTCCAAAACTACATATTGATTGTTGATCAATTAAGGGGTTCATTGTCTTGTTCAAAAACACTTTAACATATGTACATAGAGAGCCACCAACACTAAGATTAATAGGCCACCCGGTAAACCTTCTGAGATATTGCAATCTGCACTTAAATTGAAACACATTTTAATAATCTGCCACCTGTATATAACTCACTCGATAAGTAGGTCCTACTATATATATTTTTTAAACCTTCACTGTTCATGATTCATTGAAGCAACAGCTGCATTATGTTAACTTGTTTTTTAAAGCAGTGCTTCAATATGTCAGGAGTCCTTGGCTGTGATCCAAACTGAGTGTTTTTACAGTAAATGCAATATGGTTGGGATTTGTCACAAAAAATACAACGCTTAATCGACATGGAATTGTAATTACTCCCTGATACAGAAGAGCCTCTCTTCATATACATGGAAACAATTATCTTGTTGTCTAGACTAGAGTCATGTATGTTTATGATGCGTGTGTTCTGTGACCAAGGCTTTTCTTTGCCAAATGTTTCAGTCTTAAGTGATAAATGTTGTAATTTATCTACTGGTGGCTGAAAAGAATTTCACAGCTGATTATAGGTTGAAACTGACCATGTGCTTTAATTCATTAAAAGGTAAGGCCACTGTGAAGAACGTGTCTGGAGATACAGTAATTGGTGAGCAAGCTGAGCCAACCCTCTGATTGCAAACAAGTACGTATGGCATTTATCAGTGGTTGTTAAACCTGAGGCTTGCTTTGTTTTGCAGATGGTTCGAATAGTTTCCTTCGGGTTTCCTCTCACAGCGGAGCCATTGATGTGTATGTGGGAGATGGTGGCAGTGCCGAGCTTCACACTCAGGAAGGTAAACAAACGGTACAAAGAACAATATTTAACACATGAATCACAGTTTTCCTTCCTGTTGAGTAATATCTATTTTGGCTATCCCTCATTCTCCTGTTGTGTAGGAGCGGTGTGTGTGCGTGTCCCCTCCTCGCTGGAAGCTGGTCTAGAGCTCAGTGGAACGTCGGTGGATATCAGCCCAGAGGTTGTTCTGCATGGAGTAGAAAACAAGACAACTGAAGGCCAAACCACTGTTACAGGTCAGTTGTTTTTCATTACATCACTCTCCATGGCACAGATGGATAACTAATCCCTTTTACAAGTAAATCAACACAGAATGTTCTGTTTCTTTTTCATATGCTTGTATTTTTCTGCTGTTTCCCTCTCAGGCTATATCAATGGGGTGTCCCCAGTTGATCATTGGGTCAAAGCTCAGGCAGAAAGAAACTCCGTCAGACTGAAGACACAAAGCTGGTTCGAATCCCTGAAGCTGGGGAGCTGAGTTATGAACTTTACCCTTACTTAGCAAGCTATCAAATGTCTTCTGTATGGTATGTAAATATATATATATTATAAACATTATCTGAAACTGTGGCAAAAGCATTGCAAGTCTGTTTTTCATTAAAGAGTTCAGTTCAGACACTTCACCTCAAATGAAATCATGGATACAAATAAAAAAATGCAACCCGTTGAATTTGAATCTGGTATTGATCTGGCTTTAATAAATGGAAGGTAATAACTAAGACCATTTATTGAAGCAGTAGGTATAGATTATAATACCAACAATTAGGGTCCAGTGTCAAGCAAATCCACACATACCTTCTGAAACATAGAAGGTATGTGTTATATAAAACAATAATAAACCAAACTGTATAATGAAGAGTGCCATATTTTATTTGATTAAGTATAAATGAACAATGTTTCTATATAAGGGAGAGACACTTGGTCCACTGCATGGACAGACATTAATCACATAATGTAGAAATTGAAAAATATCACATTTCAAAAGCTTTCAAATCTGACTTTCAACATTTCTTAAATAACTAGACATGATGCCCAGCCAACTTTTGCATCCACACAGTGGTTTGTGTTGTTGCTGTCCCCCTTACGGCCTGTCCACACTACAGCTTCGACAGCTTCAAAAACGGTTTCCAACGCGTCTGCCCATTCACTTTGAATGGGGTGACGTCACGTTGCCTCGCTTTTAGCCGAACTGAATTGTGGGTAGCAGAGCGGAGCTTTCCTGGCGTTTCAGGCTGCAAAAGTTGAGCAATGTTCAACTTTTGAAGCTTTTGAAGCTTTCGGTGGAAGAGTCAGCCAATCAAATCATATGCCAGTACAAGCTCTAGCCAATCAAACCGCTGCTTGTGTGTCAGGGGCGGGAGATTCATGTGATTGGCTGTTGGTCGAGCTTCAGACACGCCCGCCGGCAAGCTTTTTTTGAAGCTGTAGTGTGGACGGGCCGTTACTAAATCATCTAATGATAGTTTATGTTCAGCATAAATTGTATACATGTAATTTTAAAACTAATTTGTTCTCAATCTTGATTTCATAATTTTAAAACAAAGCCAGTTTCTCACTGAGTGAGACCATCTAAGAAATATATCTGAACCAAAACTAAAATATTTTTGCTTTTAAGCTTTGAACAACATCCACCAACTTCTTTTAGAATGTGGAGTGATACACAGTTAGGATTTTTGTATAAACGAAAAATATACCACAGGTAAAAACAATATAATTACAGGGAACTGGAATACTAAAGGATCCAAAACTGTAGCAAGAAGGGTTCTAGTGCATCAAACTCTGAGAGCACAGGACTTTCTCCTGTCAACATCTGACAAAATACAAAGTGTCGATGCAGCATTGAAACTGCATCTGTCAATCCAGACAGGAATGTTTTAATAGATTTTTGACCAGTATATTTGTAATTTTACCTCTGCCAGCGAGGTTATGTTTTTGGTTTGGTGCTGGTCCAATTTTCATGAAACTCGGTAGAAGGTTAATTGGCCAAGAAAGAACCTTACAGTGGATTATCTTATGGGTTTCATAAAATACTTAGTTTAGATGCTCTTAATAGGTTTTAAATAATGTCCCAAAAAGGATGGTGGCTGTGATTGCTGTGGGCTCTAATTCTTCAATTAGATCTGTTTATCTCTCTGTACTTGCTGCTCGTGTCATCACTGAGTGCTGTTCCACCTGTTCCTAGGTGTCATCTGTCTTGATAGGTCTTGTGATTGTTGTATCCAAACCATGGAGGGTCATCATTGCTGTGCTCCCAGTGCTTTACACGTGGCTGAAGCTTTAGGGCGGCCACCCTAGAGGAACAGAGGCTATGTTCATTATAGACTCTCGTGCAGGACTATCGGCAGTGTTTTTTCGAAACTGTGTCTTACTTTGAGATGCTGCTGCAGCAGGCCATAGTGATGGAGCAGAGTGGAGGGCAGATCCTCTCTATGTGTCGGAGACTGCGATCCGTGAGATAAACGCAGCCACTCACATCAAGTTCTCGCAGGTACTGAGATCCACTTGTCAGATACTGCACTGCCAAATCTGTCATCTGAGGCAAGACAGGAGAAAATAGAAACATTTTATTATATGAAATTAACAAAAAAGGCTTTAGAGAAGTGTGTTTGTGAGGGGGTTTACCTTCGCACACCCCGACATCCGCAGCGTGACTAGACTTCTGCAGTAAAATGAAATGGCTCTGATGGCCGGGTCTGACAGAGCTACACAGTGAGACACATCAACATGTTCTAGATCTCTCACGTTCTTGCACAGCTTCTGCCCTCGTGAGGATCAAAGCAGACGAGAGTAAAATGTAAGATGAAATATGAAGAGTGCAGAGGACCAATGTTTACGAGAGACATACATGCCTTCCTCTGTTCACATATGTTACTGGTCAGTAAGTGAAACAACAACTGTGAAAATGATTCAAGTTTTCAGGACATATTTTTCCGGGAAACAGCGGCACACATTTATTTCCCTTTCATTTGTTGATATTATACACAGGACGTAAACTTAAGCCCATAATAAGTTGTTAACTGTTCTATAAAAATGCCAAATCTGGCCACGTGTTGAAATCCTGGCTAAATGTGTACCTCCATGCCAATATCGGTGATATAGACGCACTGGGAAACATTTAACTTCTTCAAGCGAATTCCTTCAAGAGCTGCCAGGCCCTGAAAATACAAAAACAAAGTAACAGACTAACCAACAGGGCCAGTTATCTTTTTTTTCTCCAGGAATTTGTGAGAGTAAATAACAATACCTGATCCTGGATGTTGCAACCGCTGATATCAAGAGAGCAGACAGAGCTTCCACTCAGCCACTCCAGACTCATATCAGTCAGACTCTTACAATAACTCAAGTTGAGATGGTAAAGTTCACACAACCTTGTGCACACAAGACACAACAAATGCTACTGCGTGACAATATTTTAACAAAACACAATGAGATCTGTGAGTGTGTGAAGTCATACTGTATACCTTTGTGCAATCATCATGACAGATATGTCAGTGATGTGACAGCAGTAACTGACATTCAGCTCTCTCAGTTTGGTGGATGAAGAGCCTTCTGTCAGATACTGTATCCCAGTATCACTCACCCTGTAATACAAGCAGTAAACCCATACAGTAACATCATGCAACTTCATAAGAAAGCTCATCATCTAAAACTACAGAAGACACAACCAGACCCACTTGTTACAAAGTGAGATGTCCAGGTGGTGCAGGTTCTTGAGGCTGGCCACAGATTTCAGGCTGGCGTCAGTCATTCTGGAGCATTCTGCAGCGTGGAGTCTGCGGAGACCTTGAGAGCTGCTGCACAAAGCCTTCCAGCTGTTGTCTGTTAGTTGGTTGTTACCTAAAGAGCACAGGGGTTGAAAAACAGACAGAATAACAAGAAGAGAATTCCCTTTCATGCGTTTTTGAAAATGAATGTTACACAACGCAATAAGATCTCACCCTCTGTCCTGAAAGTCCTTAGCTTAGCGACTGCAGCGATGGCTTCTAACGCAATGTCGGAGAGATGAGGAGCATCCAGCAGCGAAATGGCCGATAGACAGTGACATCTCGAAGTGAGAGCCTGTTTGGAAAGAGTTAAACTGAAATCTTCTGCTTCTGCTGTCAGGGGTTATGGTGTGTACACAAAAAATATGTATTGATTTGACAAGGCTAATTCTTTTGTGATTTATTACTTATTTTTTGTCTTCGTTGAACATTCAAGAGCTGGGATGTCGTTAAAAAAACGTACCAATACACAGCTATCTGACAGAGTGGGCATGTCATTGACAACAATCTCTTTGAGTGAAGGGCATCCGGCAGAAATGTATCTGAACCCATTTACAGTCATCTGTGAGGATAGAGAGGAAAATATGTGTATAAATGTGAATCTGAATCATTCTTCTGGACACAGTTTTTATGGCTGCTCACATTTTGGGGGCCCCAGAAAGTAAAACATCTGGAACCAAACTAAAGCACACTCCCAGAGGATAAGTGTGTCTTATGTTGCTGTGTGTGTGTGTGTGTGTTATGTGAGTGCACATGGTGAGTGGGTGGGCCAGAGTTGATAAATCCAACCCTCCTCTTGGCCACATCTGCCTTCCACTCTCCCTCTCCTCCGGATCTGTGTTCATTTGCTCTGAGTGCAAACAGTCACCAGAGAACAGCCAGAAACAAGCAGAGACACGTGGAGACAGAGATTGACTGGATTTATTAAGAGGTGGACTGAACCTCCTCTACACCCTGTCTACTTTGAACTGAAAGGTGAGACTAAATACCAAACCAAGGAGGATACCGACTGACCTGAGTGCAGCCGGACAGGTTGAGGTGGATGAGATTGTGGCAGCCCTTCTCTGTGGCCAGGTACAGAAACCCTTCATCTGTGAATCTGTAGCAGTAGGCCAGGCTCAGGTATTGAAGGTTTAGACAGTTCCTGTTTAAGATCAATGGTTAGATCAGTTTATATTTAAAATATTGATCAAAAAGGTAGCATGCATTATGGACATGAGCTAAGAGGAAGAACATTTGTATTTTTGATTTTTGATTGACTGGTCCCTTTATGCTTTTGTAGATAGTAGTTTTTTTTTGTAATGTTTTTTTTAAACAAAATGTTTAAAACTTACTTTCAGTGTTATCACATTTTTAATTAAAATAATATATCTTTAAATATTGTCTTTTTTTAATACAATATTTTCAAATCATTTTGCATTGTGTTACTACCCATAAGGGAAAGAGCTAAGGACTAAAATAGGCTGAACCTTTGAATCTATCGTCAATGTAATTACATAGTCTAAACGTTTTGTTATGATTGCTTCATCTGTTATCTTAATCATTAAGTTGGCCAAGCTGCTCTTAGACATGAAATACAAGCCTGCAGCACATTGGACAAACAAAAATGGAGATAATTCTGGGAACCAAAGGGCAGGAGGCCAGAAAGGAGGATCATAATGGGAGAGTTTACTTTTGATATGCAAGTGAGCTGTACCACTGTTTCATGCACAAATCTTAACATTTTTTTCACAATTACTGGACGTTTACCTGGACAGTTCTCTTAGAGTTTTGTTTGTTATTAATGTGCAAGAAAGGTTCAAGTAGAGCAGACAGGGACAGCCCTCGACAATTCTCTGAACCATCACATCCTGTGAAAGAGATTTAAATGTTACCTCAAGTTCTCTCATAAATGTATCTGATACTTATCTTGATACTTGGACGTAAGTCCATGGCACAGTGCAATGTCACAATCAACAAAGCATTACCAAAAATGTGGCTTTCATTAAATCCATTTTATGTCAATAATTAGAATTAAATAAACAGTCAACATTTTTCAATCAATATTCTACTTGACTTAACAAATAAGAGTCTTAATCAATATTAATCACTTTATAAAATGTAGTAATCTTGAATAAAGTTCAATATTTTATTAGAAAATGATGATCTATACATTCTCGTGTACCTGTTTTACTTACGGTAACATTAAAACACTCTGACAAATTGAGGTCTTGGACGTTTCTGCATTCACCTATGAAAAAAAACAAAGCAGAGAAATGTCTGTTCAAACTACTATGTTGTAGTCTGCTATAATGATGAAATTGAAGTTGTGATAGAAATGGTTAATTTAAGACAGTATGTAGAGAACAACATAAAGTCTTATGGTACTCTGCCTTCTTACGAGCTGTGTGTACATTCCTGGACGGCTCCCATCTCTTACATAATGTGCAGCCAATCACTTCTTCCTCAGAAAGCAGCAGCTGTTTCCCATAAACAACGACCTTGTCCACTTTGACCATTTGCTTCTGTTTCCAAGTTCGCTTTCATCAAACTTTTACCCCTAAATCCTACTTTTCTGCAGCTCTTCTTTCCGAAAAGACAATCCCTGCAGAGAGCATGCGTGTGACCTCCGCTCTCCTGTTTGCCTCCCTTTTCCTCCTCCTGCTCCAGTACGCCGAGATGAAAAGACCGGGGAAGGGCAGAGGCCTCAAAGGAGCAAGGCACAAACTCACACGGAACAGGTATGGATCCACTCATGTGTTGGGCCTAATTTATTCAATGCAAATATCCCCCTCCTCTAATGAGCATGTGAACCAAGCCATGAATTCACTTTGTCAGGGTGAGAGGTGTTGGGCGTCACAGCAGATCGGGCCCCTCCAGGATTTCTGCACCTCAGTGCTCAGAGTTGACAGAATCTGGAGACTTCTTTGTAGACTGCCAGGACCAAGGCCTCAGCTCCATCCCCGCCTCACAGTGGTCCAAACAACCAAACCACCTCCTTCTCGCACGCAACCGGATCAAAATCCTGCGTGACGGAGCTTTCTTGGGATTTGAGGGCCTAACCAGTCTGGACCTGCAGCAGAATCACATCTCTTTGGTGGCTGAAGGGGCCTTCCAGGGTCTGACACGCCTTACAACCCTGCTGCTGCAGCACAACCGCCTGGGGACACTGAGCGAAGAGGCCCTCATCTCCATGCTGAACCTACGCTATCTACGTCTACATGACAATCCCTGGAACTGTGTCTGCCCGATGGAAAGTCTCATCCGCACCCTTCAGGTCCCAAGCAACCGTAATCTAGGAAATCATGCCAGGTGATTTCCACCAATATATCTTTTTTTTTCACAGATTAACAAGTCATTACTGATTCTAATAATAACACAGATTTCATCATGATCTCTTCTAGGTGTGCAGAGCCCTCCAGGCTGAAAGGCATGAAGTTGAGGCAGATTGACCCAGAGTTTCTCTGTAAGGAGAAGACAGACCCAACAGGCAAACCACAGGGCGACCAAATATATCCCACAAACCCCGTACAACCTATTCCAATTCGCACTAAACCGGACGCCACCACATCTTGCCACACCTACCTATTCCCCCAAGTACGGATGGACTGCAGCAAGCGAGGCAAGTTCACAAACTGTTTTTTTCTTTACATGTCTCATAAACTGAACCTTACCCTGAGCCTCAGCACATATGTTTCTGATGCAACAGGGAAAAATACCTCTAAGGCATCATGTCATGGAGCTCGTATGTTCATGAGTTATTATTGCTGCATGAGTAGAATGACAAAACGTCCACTTCTCAAAAGAGAAGAGCAGGAGGAGACACATCTGGTTTAGCAGCTGTTTTCTATTCAACATTAAGTTGCTTGGGTCCTTAACCTGTGACTGATTTTACTTTAGATTCACATGTCACATTATGAGCAACTTGGAAATAATTACCTAAACAAAGACATCAGAATAAGTCCATTGCATAACCTGCGAAAGCATTTAAAATGAACCTAAGAATAATAAGTGTTACAACTATCTGCCTCGTATTGGCAGAAAGCCTGGATTTAGATTAATGATCAGGGCAGAGCATAAGTCTGTCTCTACGCACAATTATTCACTTGCTCTACTAAGAGTGCAAACTCAAGATGATTTCTTTGTGCAATCTAAGGTTTGGCACATTTGAATGGTAAAGGTGAAAAATCCCTCATTGTAATCAATAAAAAAAGATACTGACCATATGAATGAAGCAATGTTATATTTTGTTTCAAGAGGTAAAATAATGAAATATATTGGAGCAATCCTTCCCTCAGTAACCCCATCTGTTTTGTTTTTAGGTCTAACTGAGGTGCCTACAGGTATCCCAGAAGATGTTGTTCATATAGATATGTCCCATAATTCAATCCGTCATCTCAAAGCCAGGGATTTCCAAGGAGCCAGGAGCCTAAGAAGCCTCAACATAAGTCATAACAATATGGAGCACATTGACACAGGTATGTGAGCTATGATTACATCATACTGGGACCTATTCATAATAACCAGTACATATTACAGTATGTGCTTCACATTTCCTGTAACATCCAGAATGAAAACCTACCCCAATTTGTTTTTATTTGGCTGATGGATATCATATGGTAGGCCAAAGTTTGAGAGCATGTTAAACAACTGCTGCTGACTCCTGTTTCTTTTAAGACACTGGGAACTATGCCATCTTTGTGTATACAGTTAGTTATTTACAGACTTTATTTATAGTGGGGAAAGCTGAGAGGGTTATGCACATAATGTGGACACTCTGCCTAAGTGATTCAGACACAAACTGAACACCAACCAATGCATTCCTTACCAGAGTTTGATTTCACTACTGGCTTTTCTCTGTAAACAATAAACAGCAACAACAGGTCTGTCTAAATATAACTATACAAAGAGAAGAGAGAAGTAATCAATCTCTCTTTTCTCTCTCCCAGGTTCCCTCTCTGGGCTGCTGCACCTTCGTGAGCTGGACCTGTCCGACAACAGCCTGCATTCTGTCCAGTACGGGGTTCTTGAAGACCTTTACTTCCTGTTACAGCTAAAACTGGGAGGAAACCCCTGGGTGTGTGACTACAGGTGGGTTCTTCAGTGCAAATGCTTCCTTTAGTTACTTCAGACAAATGCAAATTTTAAATGACTGGATTTTTTTTCAGCATCCACTACATGATGTACTGGCTGCGCCTTCACCCAGGGGTCAGGTACTCCGGGATGCTGTGTCGCTCCCCTCTTGAACATACAGGGGAGAGTGTGGCAGAGTATGTGCGTTCATACAACAGAGCGTGTCCAAAGGACAGACAGCACAGGAGAACAGATCCAGACCAAACAGACCCTGAACTCTGGAACACAGCAATGGAAGTGCAGGGAGAGCTGGAGGAGGAGCTGGAGCCCAGCCACTTGAGAACACCACAGAAATACCAAATCATCAGGCTGTCCTGAATCCAGTGAAATATGACCAACAATTTACCTTTTGCAAATGCTATTTAGTTTCCCTTCTTTCGCTTTCTTTCATTATTATTAAACTGTCTGTATCAGATGGAGATCCTACTGTCCTTTTAATCAAAGTATAAACATGTTATTAACGTATTGGTTGTTCTACTCATAATTATTATCAAAAGGACATGATCTGTATGATGGAATATGGGTATTGCAGATGAAACACAAAACGAAAATCTAGCAATTGAATGTGCAATACTCACTGATGCATTTCAGGCTTGGCCCCTTTAGAGTTGTGCAGCCACGCAGGTTGAGATGGATCACAAATGGACGGTAGTTCTGCAGAATCTGCTTCATCTTACCCTCTGTTATCCAGTCCTTCTCCACAGAGAAGTTGATCTAATAGGGATACAACATTAAGGAACATTTATACTCCTGTTTCAAGTATAACTTCAAACTTTACTAGGAAATTGATTAAAGATGCATCCTCCTAGTACATACCTGACTCCACAATGTGCCTGACTGGATGAAAGCTTTCCATGTGGAACACACCTCAGCACAATTTAGCCAGTCTCGCAACTCTAAATATCGAAAGATCTGCAGAAAATAAATCACATGACGTTTGATCGTTTGGAAAGGTGTACACGTGTAGATTCTCTGTTATTTGTACCAATATCTTAGAGACCAGTTGTCATGTTGGAAATGTTTGTGCAATGTCAAGAGGACAGTGCACCTAAATGAGAAAGGCAAGATTTTCCTCTGCCACTCAGAGAACCAGTGTGATGTAAGTGTACAAGCAGCCTCTTTCTTTCTCCAAACATAGTCATGTTGAAGCACCATTCATCAGGAGGTTTTGGACAGAAACACCAGGGCAAACAAAGCCAAATCTGCCCTGCCTTTGCCAGCAAATGTGAATCCAAAAACAACAGGGAATATGTCTGTCAGTGCAAGGAGAGTCAAAATATGTTTACAGCTGTTAACATATTTTAAAAAAACACTGGTATTAAAATACTTCTGTAATAATATAATACAAACAAAAATTGAATTAGCAAAGACCATAACAGAGATAAGAGTTGTTCAAGAAACAAAACTCTTTCTCTGGTAATAGGTATACTTGATCCCAATGATCTTAGTTGATATTATACAACCTGGCCTCTAAGAGACTGGAGGAATGTTGACAGAGAAGTTTACTTAAAGTCTTATGTAACCCGTATGATCTCATCACTGAGCTGCTTCACATTTAATTCCACAGCTATAATTTCTCTGTGTGGCACCTTAATGTAGTTTAAGAGGAACTACCTTCAGTGAGAGGTTGCTAGGGAGCATGGAGAGTATGTCAGATCCTTCCTCGGTCTGGTTGACTCTGTTGCCAATTTCTATAAATCCCATTTGCAACCTCTGCAAGATCCAAACAAACCATTAAAATAAGAAATGATAAGAATGAGAATTTGTATATTTCAAAAATAAATACAATTATAAATAAACGTTTACCTTATAGTACTCTTTTGTCCTCTTTGAGTCCTTTAAAACATTACGCCATGCAGCTATGATGCGCTTAAGACGACCAGCGTTGACAAGACTCTCAAGTTTTTCCGAGGCAACTAATTAGAAAAGATGTTCATCAGTTTCGCACAGAACACTTGGCAGAGGATAACATGTGGGCTAAATCATGGCAAAAATATTATAATCATTGATCACAAAGTTGAATTCTACTGAATCCTAAGATAAATAAAGCTCAGAAAAATGTGGCCAAGTCTCAAGAGTGAAATGTGAAAGGGACAAAATTAGTCACAGGAGTGAGTGTAGTTGGGAAGAAATGTGTCAGGACATTCAGTTTGGACAGATTCCTTAACCACAGTGTATGTATGTTCTGGCATTGTATTCAAGTTAGCTTCCAAAAACAGCCAAAACTCATCAGGAGTACAGAATATTTGAGTAAGCACTTACCGGCCTGTGTCTTCTTGTGCAATTTTACCCAGTTTAACCATTTAGCAAGTGCAACCAGCTGGCAGTTTCTTTCATGACGCTTCTTTTCCAGGTCCATCTTCAAAGCCAGCTCTGCAATATCTCTCTTACTCTGGGCAGCGAACCTCTTCCACTTCCTGTCCCAAACATCAAACACAGCTCATCATTAATTCAGTGGAAAGGTAAGCAGGCAGACTGACAGAAACCTGTATTAACCCAACGGCACAGGGGTCAGTAACAATGAAATAATACTGGTGTATTAGTGTTTTCTAATGATGATATCAACTGAAGCTGGTTGGGACATTTAGACAGGGCAGAGTTATTGATTGGATAAAAGGTCAATGTTGTAGAAGTATGCACTGACAATAGACAGGTGAAAGGCAAACTGTGAAATATAATATCCTCATGAACTGTGTTAGCAATGATCCAGAAAAGACTTTAATTTGCATGGGTCAAATTTCTTTATAGAGTGATATCCGAGTCTTTTTTGAGATGTCGTCCTATAAGTCATACCATTTATAAATATATATACTAAAGAATTATGGATTCACAAAGGACATTTAGAGGAAGGCAACTGATGTTTTAGAGCTATTTCTGGATAGCTGAGTGATATTTCAGCCATCACCACTCAGCTCTCTGAATAAATGCTCCACCTGTGCTGGTCTAGTTAGGTTGATTTTAACACAGCACCAGCTGTCTTCAATCACCTAATTGCATCAGAGTAGCAGACTCAGAAAGGTTTTAATATCCTCACCTGCACTTTTCTTATGGTTCATGGCTCTCAAACCTTGAGGAGAAAAAAAAGGGAGTATTGTTGATTGTTTTCTGGGCTGGTAGTTTTAATCAACCGTCTGCTGTTGTGTCTGCTGAGAGTGACCGCTGGAGTTGAATTTGCTACCATGGCTCTTCCATTTGGGTAAATACAACACAAGTGTATATTTGGAAAAAATTGGCCTGTGTTACTCTTTTTAAAAAATGTTATTGTTATTCAGGGTGTCTTGGCTTTGCTCTCTGTTGTTATGGGTCTGCATTGGCTTCACTACTCAAAAAGGTAAGATTTCTGTATTATTCCTCAAATGGTTCAACAAAATGAATTTATTGCAATGTCTGTTTATTCCCTGATAGGTTACAATACTGCACATGGCTACTCTCTCGATGGTGACGACTTCGGTAGCGATGAAAGTGGGCCTCGCACACAAACTTCAAACATGTTTGATTCTGGAGAACCTTTATTCACCAACCAAGAATCTGTCAGTCCAAGGGATGAAATGCAAGCTCTGAGACGCCACAGCTTTATTTCCCTTCAAGGAGAACCAGAGAACCATGAAAACAATGAGGATTTTAGCTCTGTTACTGGCCTCAGTGAAGACGTGGTACAAAACAAACCAGACTCAGAACATGTCCCTGCCCCCCCAGTGCAGAAATATGAACATAAAGGAGCTGGTAATCAACACCCCTTTGGCCTTTTAGTGGATAAGCACACACAAGAGAAACCTATGGAGGGGACTAGTTTTCAGACAGTCAAAGATTTCAAATGGTTTACAGAAAAACTGAAGAGTTCATTTTTTATTCCAGGAGGTGCCTTTGGTCCACATTTTCAAACTGCACGGGAAACTTTGAAAAATGAGATGGCTGCTAATGCTCAAAATATAAAGGGGGAGACGGACATGGGCTATAGGTCTAATTATACAAAAGAAGTAACCGCCCATGATGACGCCAGTGAAAATGAAGTTTGGAGTGAAGCTATGAATACAGCGTTTGAACAAAATGAAAATGGCGCCAACTACCAAATGCCAGGTGAAAACCCCTCTGTCCCAGATCCTGACGACTCCACTGAAAGTCTCACTTATTCCAGTGTTTATGACAACCAAAACTCTGGCCCAGGGTCTGCTCTCTACCCGAGCCACCCAGAGCATGTTTCAGGTAATTACGGTAGTTTTGACAATTTTGGGGAAAACCCTGATATAAGTGCTTCTTATAAGCAAAATGAAAACTTCCAGTCTAAAAACTTCAATCTCCCTGAACAAATACCTTCTGGTTCATACTATGGAGATGATTTGTATTTTGGTGGCTATGTGACTGCTCCCCCTGTCAGCCTTCCATACAGCCCATCTCAAGATTTAAGCTACTACTCAAGCCAGAGATCCAATATAATGCCTTTAACCTCTAAGGTTATCCAACAACCAAAATATGCATCTCACACTGGTGGCTTTGAACTTGGTGAAGATTTCCAAAGTGAGGAGCTAGGCAGAGGGAACTCAGCCAATGACCTGTCTGCACCAATGCCCAGATCTTTGAATTCCTATGCAAAAAGTTTACATGTCAATCCACTGAGAGGTCAATACTACATCCAATATCCGTTACCAAAACGTAGGGAAAGCCCAGCCCAACCATTGGAGGCTTATCAACCCACTGAAAACAAGCAATCAAAGGCTGTAAACCACTCTCCCACCGCCCACCTGCTTGTATCTTCTGGCTCTGTTTCTTCAAGCTCTGATAACATCATGCCAAAGAGAAGTAGCGGTCATGTAGGAGTTCAAACAAGTAGCCCACATGATGCTCAGCCTCGAGCTTTCAACAAAAAGCAGCCAGTCAGATTCCACCGACTGTTTACTAGGAAACCTTTCAGCTTGCTTCAAGACTCAAGTGGACATGGTGGCTATCTCAGAGACCAGACAGTCGATGTTAGCCCTCCTTTCAACCTGACTGCAAAAGACAGGGAGAAATCAAACCTCTCCCAGCTAAATCAAGCCGCTGACACTCAGGGACCAAAACGAATGGCTGACAATTCCATCATTATTCCCATTTCTAGTGGCTTGGATTCAACTCAGAGTGGGATCTCATCCTGGGCCAGAGATGATGTGCATTTGAACTCTCTTACTAACTTGGCTCCGACCTCAGCTTCAGAGAAGGCCTATTCAAGATTTTTTGGCAATGATATACATGGTGTCAGAAACCCCCAGGGCTTATATTCTAACCCACTACGACGAGGTCTTTCTGCAAAAAAAGCTCTGCAGACCTCCATAAAACCAAACAAAGAACAGCAGACTCCAGCCAATGTGAATAAAGAGCCTCGCATTGTGGCCGACCTGCATCTTAAACCACTGTCTGCATCCAAGGTTTCTGATTCTACTTTCAGTGATGTATTTTGGAGGAATGGTGGCCACAAAAAAAGGCTTCCTTCTCAAATGGGCCCAAACAGGTCACCACCATTTGTAAAGGCATATGTTCACAAGTCCAGAAATGATTACAAAAGGAAGAGACTATCTCTATCAAAGACCCATTATTCACCATATCGGCTGGATGAATACAAGAACAATGTTTACCGCAATGTAAAGGATTTGAAGAACAATAAAGAACGATTGAAACCCTTCAAGTGAAGCACAACATGGTATGGAAACATTTTTAAAACGTTGCTTGTAAATATATGAATGTTGTACTTATGATTAATTAGAAGTGAAAGCTTTGACACGCACTTAACTCTGATGTATCAGTTTGAAACTTTAAAATGTAGTTTGAACAAGAAGCTTTTGTAAAGCTTCCTATTAACAATACCTAATGCTCTCATAACTGAATTATTGTTTGTTCTTTTTTCATTAGGATCTGCTGCCATCTTCATCTTCGAGGTAAATCAAGTTTATGTGCTTCTACAATCATCTGCTGTGATAATGAAAGCCATGAAAAAGTTTATTAGCTCATCTTGCTGTTGTCACTCGGGGTAAGCTAATCAGCAACTTTAGTTGGTTGTTTTTCTTTTCAGTCACAAATGAAAAGCATAGTCAGTGCCAGTATTTGAGCATTAAAAACTGACTCATGAACGGCAATTTGATATTTCTCAGAACTCATTATAGGGGGATGGTTAAAAATTCCTGTTTTTTAACTTTAATTTTGTTAAACTGAAACTTAATTTTGTTTTTATAGGGTGCACTTAAATCAATTCATCGCGAACACTAACTCTACTTCGTGATGGAGCCTATGTCTAATGGCACTTCTCTTTCTTCTCCCTTGAGAAATCCTTGATAAAGTAATCCCATCCCCATGTGGTGATCACAACTGTAATACTGTAGGCATACCTGAAGCATGAGCTTGTTAAATTGTTCCTGTAACAGCAGTAGGCCTTTTCGAAGAGGCAAAGGGACATCTAGAGAGGCATACAGATCAGCAGTTATTATACAAGCGCTTAAATCTATTAAACTGTCATTTGAGTCTTAATGTGTGTGATGAATCTGTGCTCAATCTGACAATTGGTGGCATGAACAATACTGAACCATAATGTACCATGATGTCATTTGGCTCCATATAGGCACAGTCCGAAGTCCTGTCGCTCAGAGTGGTTGTTGCTGGGAGCTGTTCTGCATCAGCGACAAATTTGTGCCTTAAAAATTGAAATAAAGTTGAACAACAAAACAGATAATCTCCAACAAAAAACGTGGACCTTTGAATGATTGTTATTGGAAGAAGTTGGTCTATTTGGTGATTTATCACAAGATTTTTATTAATTTTATTCTTTATTTGCAAAACCTGTAATGACCACCACTTTAAGTTTGCAAAGAAAATGCTCTAAATGGAAATCTAAGCTGACAAAGACAATATAGGATTATCCTTCCAAAATGTTCAAAAACATGTACAATGCCTGTAAATGTGATTGGTAATAAGAACGGAGGATACTGGTGACTAGTTTCCTTAGGGGTGTGCTTTTTGAAAGTCAATATAAGTCTAACGGTGACCTTTAGAAAACCTGTTAAGTATCTTAAAATGGTGTTAATGTGAGTAAATGGAAAGACTGGACAAGGTAACCGACAAAGGACAACGCAAAGCAATAGGAAACACAATTTGATAAACAAAACACAAATGTATCGTCCAGTTTTATATAAACGTTACCTCTGAGACATTTTGGCTCAGATATTGAATATCTTATTTGTCCTGGACCTTGATTCTTTACTCCTCCATATTGTTTAGCCTACCATGAATATCACTCCAAAAAAGTTGAGCAAGTGAGCCCCCAAGTGTCCATCCCAAGGAAAGTCACAAGAAAGATGGTCTACCTACCAGTCAACATCCTGAAGACTGCCATGTCCCTGGAAGGCCGTGAGTGTTTTTCAGGAACTGTATAGGGTCATTGGGTCAATAAGGCCTATTGTCAAAGAAGCCGAAAAAAAGATGCAAATTACTTTTCATATTCTGAAAATGTTAACATAAGTGATGATAATAGTGAAAAACATAGAGTAGTCTAAGCTCATGTTATATGTAATATTACCTGCAGCAATCTTTACTTAATACATTTTTATGCACGATGACTTAGCCTACCTTATATATTTGTGGCAGGCAGTGTTTTGGATCGCACTCATTTAGAGCAGGCTTTGCGTTTGCCCCAGCCATAGTGTGTCTTTTGACACATTTACAAAGTCGTTTAGAGTAATTGTAGAGGAATAATCGAGTATCTTAACAAATGTTAACTAACCTCAGTTCAATTTAGCGTTTGTCAGATTTGGCCTGGTTGTTGCCAGGTAACGAATAAAGTAAAATGTCACATTAGTGTTGGTCAACTAATGTCATGCGGGCTGCGGCAAGATGTAAATGTGACAAAGTTGGCAAAATAATCGGTGAAACGCACATTATGTTTTAACTAACACATTGCATACGTGATTTGTATGTGTATAATACAATGCAAAGTCAATTGATTGTTTATAGCCAGAAAGTAATCACCCAGCGAACGATTTGGTCGGCCACTCTCTGAGCCGAGGCGTTGCCAGGTTGGGCTACTTTTATGCTTTTCAATTAAGTGTGTGGTTTTAAACAATTTAGGTCAAATATGTGATATTTCGGGCAACAATATCACAACTAAATCAAAGCGTTATTCTTATTGACATATTTATGTCGTCATAGCTTTATGATACAATAATTATGAATGTTATCTGATCCAAAATACGTTTATTGTATGTATGACCTCTATACATCACTTTGTCCTGATTGTAACCGTGTTATTTATTTTTATTTGTGTGTCTATTGATAAAACATTACCGTTATCGATGGCGACTCTTAAACTCTGACTGTACTGCTTTTTGTCAGTCAAATATGGCAACCCAAGCTGCCCGGAACCACAGAGCATTATCATTGTTGACAACTGTAGCTCGGATGCAAACTTCTCCAGCTTTCAGAACAATGAAGCTGTCATTCATTTGGTTGGGTTCTGTTGTGGTTTCAACGGGTTGTCTTCAGCGCTAGCTTACTGATGAACCGGGTTAGTTACGTTACTGAGCATCAGTAGCTTGACGTTAGCTAGCTAACAGTTAGCTAAAGACGCAGCAGCAGCATGGGCGATGGCAGCATTACTCCCAGGCTCGGCAACATGAAAGCGTTTCTAGGTTTAGTTGCCGGCGCTGGAGCTTCCTACGGTTTATATAAACTCATTAGCGGGGAGAGTTTTAAGAGAAACAAAAAAAGTGCTGCCAATGAAAGTGCTGGTGTGAGGAGCAGTCAGCCCAGTGAAGGTACCCTGCAGCCGGGCAGCCTGCTGGCCAGAGTGTCCGGACTGGATGTGGTCTGTCCCCGACCTGTGGGTGCTTCAGGTAAGGGCCAGAAGCTTTGACTAACATATCTGATTGCTCCAGCATATTGTGTATCTAAATGATTTCTCTTATGTCCTGTTTGTAAACACAGACTTGCCAGTATATCCCAAACTATGATCTCAAATGTGAGCCTTTGACTGTTAAAGAAAAGCTACTGTGTGTGGTATTCAGTCTCCTCCAGTGCAAAGAGTTACACATATGACAGCTGACAACTCTTTAATTTAAACACAAATACCTGTACACAATGTATATATTTTTATAATATATATAATGTACGTTTCTTATATATTGATTGTTGTATCTGCTTTTATTTTTAATTTATTTTCTCTTAAAGGTCCCATGTCATGGCCATTTCCACTGATCATAATTCCATTGTTGAGGTCTACTAGAATAGATTTATACCGTGCAATTTTCCAAACTCACATTGGTTTCTCATACAGCATCTCTGTAAACTACGTGTATTATTTTATATGTATATATGTGTGTGTGTATATATATATATATGTATTATATTGAATAGGTTTATATTTTTGCACTAATACATCAAAGCACGTTCCTTGTAAGTGAAAGAATGCATTGAGATCTACTGGATTTTGATTCTGAATACCAATAAATGTTTTTTAAATTATTTTCCACCGTAGGTGACCTCGCCCACCAGTCCCCTGGCAACCTGGATCCACAGCACTTGAAAATGCTCCTGTCATGTCTGCAGACCAGCAATAATACAACCGACAGATGTCGGATCCTACTTACGCTAGGAAATTCTGCTGCCTTTACTGTGAATCAGGTACAGTAAGAGTTTACTATCTTAGAAAAACGAAATTCAAGTGTGCTTAGTACTGAGTTTTTCAGCTATGTATTATCATTTTTATTTTCTTCTATTCTAATCCTCCAGAATCTTTTACTGGAATTTGAAGGGATTCATATCATAGCTGGTTTCCTCTCTGATCCTGCACCAGAGGTTAGAGTGCAGACTCTGAATGCTTTGAATAATCTATGTATGAACATCCAAAACCAGGAACAAATAAAGGTATGTCACCATATGCTGTACTGCAAATATCCTGAAATCAGTTGCTGCATACAAGATAGTCTGGTAATATATCCATGCCTATGTGTCTCATAGGTTTATGTGCCACAAGTGTTGGAGCTGATTGAGATGTCTCCAGTGAACTCTGAGCTCCAGCTTGGTGCTCTCAGGCTGCTGACCAACCTTTCAGTCACAGATAAACATCAACACTTGCTAAAAGGATCAATTACACTTTTACTCTCTCTAGTTGTTGTGAGCAAGGAAACTTTACAGGTTGGTATCTTCAAAGTAGCATCTGAATAATATTATTCACATTTTTCATACCATTTTTTAATTTTGTAATAGCTCTTGGAAATCAGATAAAAGCTATGAATACAGTATGATTTATCTTCTAATATTTGCCTTCCAGGTTCAGGCTTTGAAAGTCCTTGTAAATCTGTCATCCAATCCAGATATGATGGATGACATTGTTCAAGCTCAGGTAAGAGTAAAGGAAATATAAAAATAATGTATCATGGTTCTGCATTAAGAGGTCAAGAAAATAGAAATGCAGCATCATCTATTTTCTTTTGAAGACACACTGTTGTGGAAGGTGCAGAGTTCTTTTATACATCCTCATTTTGCACTTGTCTTTTCTGCTTTTCTCTGTAGGCGCCAGCTTCTGTTGTGCTGCTGTTTGACGCACGAACAGCCTCTGCCGTGCTTCTACGATTACTGACGTTCGCAGGGAACTTAAAGGCCTGGAGGGCCTCAGCCCAGGTGGCAGATGAACTGAGGCGGAAGCAGGACTGCCTCTTCCGGGTCATGTTAGATGAGTCTTCCCAGCTCCACAGCAGACTGGTCCAGCTGCTCTCACACCCTGATGTGGAGATTCAGTCCCAGGTGGCTCGCATCTTGACATAGACCTCCTTCTCTGCACACTTGACCCACCCATGCACAGCTTATGCTTTCACACAATTTGCCAAAGCCATCAACCCTTCACCCTTCAATGTCAACTATAAATCTATTGATATAGTCTCATAAAATAGAAGGCTGAGAGGCCTTCTGCTGATATTAAGCTTTCATTTCTTCACTATCTACATTTACAATGCTCTAGAGATCAGAGATTTTCAAAGTGGGAGTCAGGTCTCCTCAAGGTAGGCTCAATTGAAGGGAAGGGAACATTATTAAAGTAATTATTACTTAAGTTATCAAAGGAGGATCTCATAGAGAAGCCTACATGTGTGTGATTTAGTTAGAGCAATAGTATCGAGATACATTTGTTTTCAGGGAGTTTTCTTCTGCTTTACCAGAGTCAGAAATACCATAGGACAGACCTATTATGTATTTTCTGTCTGAAGTTTTGTCAAACGGCAATATTAGACTGATTTAGCTTAATTGGAGCTAAAATAGCCATGAAATAGCATAATCATGATCCCATAGGAATTTTGTGAGGAGGCCGAAAAGCGTAAGACTTTGAAAACCCCTGCTCTACATCAATATTTTCGTCACAGTTAAGTTAATTATCCATCACACCTCACCAGCCATATATACACTTTCTTTCACTAAAATGAATTGATGAGCAACCAGTGAGCAGCAGCAGACCATTCATGCAATATAATGTAAAACAGACAACCTCTCACTGTCTTTTCCTGCCACCTGCAGCTTATTCTCATGACCAGAAAATGTTTTCCTTCAAAGATCCACAGTGCCCTCCCTTCTGAGAAAGTCATGTACTCTCTCTGAAGGCATGTTCCAGGTGACATTTTGGAACCCAAACCCACTGCCAAACATTTTCTAGAGAATGTGTCAGAACGACCTGCGCAGCTCGACCAAACCACCCTCTGAGGCTCAGAGAGACACTTACTGTAGATGGAGAGCCGTACACCTTAGCATGCCTTGGAGACAAGAATGGCTCATTTATCAACATGTTGGATTAAAAGATCATGTTCTTCAATAATCTTTGATTTATGTAATTCATTTGAGAATCAGTGCACCATGACTAGTCAAAGATCCGTCTGTCGGGAAGAACTTGTAGCTGAAACCTTACCTCCACATTAAGAAGAGCCACCAAAGTGGATGGGACACCTTCAATAATTAACTTGGTCATATGCACAGAAATTACAGAGATGCATGGAGGCAAGACAAAGGGAGATTCAATTACACAAAATACTGCAAGTTATAATAAATGGATAACATATAATATTAATTAAATGGAAAATATTATACATTTGTGGCAGTAATTACAAATGAATATACTGAATGTAAATGGTAAGGATACAACGTGAGTAAAGTTTGACATCAAAGGGGCACCAACCTCAGCTTCCTGGGAAAAAACCAGGACGTAACTGGTGGCGTTGCATCTCTCAGACACGCCGGTAATACCCCAGGGAGGAGCGGGGGGGGAAGTAGCAAGGGAAAAGGATGTGCTGTGATTGTTTCAGCTAACACACATATTGTGCAGATGCGCAGCTTGAAAATGAATGGAGGGGTTGACCTCTTACAGAGTAGCCTGTAATAGTAATTCCTTTGTTTTCTAACCATTAGTATATTTAAACATTTTTCTGCATACAATGGTTATTGAATAACAAAAGAGATAGAATGTTAAGTATGCACTCACAGTAAGTGAAAGGCTAGAGCTGTGGGTCATCGGCTCTCTTGTAGTATAGAGTGAAAGTGCATGAAAGAAGGGATTATCTCAGAATATGATTTTTAATGCAAGGATTTTATGATATGAGCCTGTCCAGGTGTAATGAAATGCTGCACATTTTACTGACCTTATTGAACCCAAATCCTAAAAATCTCTCAGGCACTATGGTTTACCAGAACAGCAGGAGGCTGATTTACTTGTGACCTAGATTATAAGATTTATTTAATGAAGCTTTTTGCCTATCAAATGACAAATGTTTGTTGTGTTTGTTTGAATGGTGCAATAAATACCCTACAAGACAAGATCTGTATATCAACATCCTTATTTCTGTTTTTTTCTTAAAAATATTAATCTAGTAGCAATGACTGAATTTGTGTCAAGCTCTGCTGTTGTTGGCTGGTAGGCGGTGCAATTGGGTCTGCCTTTTTGCTTTGAATACTAAGAACCCTACCATGAAGTAGAGAATGGAGTACAA